ACAGACAGACAGACAGACAGACAGACAGACAGACAGACAGACAGACAGACAGACAAACAAACAGATATACATACACACAGGCAGACAGACAGACATATAGACATACATACATACACACAGTTCTATTGCTTTTGATTATGTACGTCTTTTCAACAAGCGCGTCTTATGACCGCATGAGCTGTTTATTTCGTTACAGAACAAAAATCTAGACACTGTTCAGGTCTTGTTGCCCTACCACTACCAGGAAAGGGAGTGCCCACAACGTGTCAATATATCATATCAAATCAGCATTAAAATTTGTCCTCATTTTCATATCCCTTTTAAGCGCAGTCATGCGTGCCGGTGTATTTATTGCCTAGTTAACAAACAACTTTGCAAGGCCAGGGTGCACATTCTTCTATTCTGCGTATGTGAGATTGTGTGCTTGTGTTATAAGCATAATTATAAACCCTACCGTTGTGCTAATTTTATGCCTATATATTTTTTTTTCAGAGTAAAAGTAAAAGGCCCTAAATTGTTTTCCGGAGGTCTCACCTGACTACAGCTATTCATTACATAATAATATAGAAAATCAAATGTTTTAATATCGCGTTCCTCATGAACAAAGAATCAAATAAAAATAGATCACTATAGGCTGCTCGTCTTCTCCTCACCACCTCCACCTCTTTCTCTCTTAGAGTGCTCTGGTTGTTACAAAGGAAAACTGCCTCTTGACAAAATAAGCGCAATGCTGTATCAAATCAACAAATTTTAAAATCCCAGGCTAAGGTTTAAAGAAGAGGCACCAACAATGTCTATGCAGGCACTACAAAAACAAAACAATTAAGAGTGCTATACCAGATTATTCCTAAACAATGACATAAATAGAATTTAAATAATTTGGGACATAAAGACACGCTCATGAAATTACTCATTCAAATTCAATGAACATGCCCTGTTAGGGCCTCTTGATCGTTGAACAGTCCTCTTCTAGTTCTAGACGACGTTATTTTGCTTTGCCCACAAAATCACGTGACGGTACTCTCTCATCCCATTGGCTCAAAAGGAGATACAACAAAACAAAATGTATCGAAATTAATGGACTTCCGACAGTGTACTCTTTTCTGTTAAAATCCGCTTCGGACATACGACAACTGGGTTCTGGATATCTCAACAAACACTGTGCTTAGAGTCTTCAAAATTATTGGAGATACAACACATGGAAATTTGAGTGCATGAGTGGTCTTATCTCAGATTTCATGAAAAGTGGAATACGACAGTTGTACTCTGGGCCGACGACATGTTACCCACACAGGATCAGGAATGCTTACCCTTAATTAAGTAAAATTCTCCCGCAAAAGAAGTCTGTGCCTCTAAGGAATCAGCAGTCCTCACTACTCATGTTACCGCCATTAAAGTTATGTTTTTCAAAATCCTGCCGTGTGCATGGCTCCACAGTTCCTTTGGCGGAGGAGTAGCAGTATAGACCTTCGTCTGTGTTGCGGATGTAGGCCGCTAACCTGCTGATGCCGCTTGAACCTATCATAAGAACGTCACAATTCATCAAGATGTGCTGATCAAATATCAGTTTCTCTAGACCTGCACACTTATGCTCTGTGGTCAAACCTCTATTTCTGTCCACGTGCACGATTGGTCCATCGGTCAAAATCAGTCTGTGGCCGAAAGATTGCTTTTTAGCATCCTCTATAGCCGCGTTAGCATCACTCATAACAAACACTCTGTCGAAATCAGTTTTTGAGTGATTTTTCACAAAACTCCATACATTACCTATTGTATTTATGTCCTGTATCTTACCATCATATTTGTTGGATGGGTTTGCCCCAATGCGTAAGTGAGCACATATCAATCTATGTTTCGCTGTAGGCAGATTCTGCGCGAGAAGATTTTTAAGTTTCACATCTAAATTTGGAGATAATTTAAATAACCTCTTATACACCGCTGCTTTTATGTCCCCTCGTGATAAATGTCTCATCCAAGATAATTGATTTTGGTAAACTGTGGAACATTTCAGTCGCAACTCGTAGTTTCGGTTGCCCAAGAAATACACGTACGGAACTTCCGCTGGTGACATGCCTTCAAAGTTCATAGTCGGGAGACTGTCAAGAAATTTGTTGTCGTCTACCCTTTTTATCAACTTCACGTCTTTCGATGGAATAACTCTTTTGTGGAAGCTCTTGGGGAGATGCCAGTCAACTTCGTTGGGAAGCAAGTAGCGGGTGAGATCACAGGCCGGTTTCAGGTGTTCAAATTTAAACACACGTCCAGTCAAGTTCGCTACTATGTAGCTCAACAGTACGCCGTTCACACGGTTATCCCACCCCCCGCAGAGAGACATTGTGGCCTCGTCACAGCGGTAGATGAAGTACCTGAAAATTCAATTAAAAAATTAAAAACGTTTTACTTTCGAAATTGGCAACTTTAAACACCTTTTTAACAACAAAAATAATTTACTTAAATTAAATGTCCTCCAGAAAAAAAGAGAGCGGGGTCAAGATCACAAAACCAAACCCTCTGCCCCCTTTTCTAAATGCTCTTAAAATAGAAAGGTACCCCCCTCCCCTCCCCACACCCCAACCGAAAAAAGGAAGAACAAAACAAAAACGAAATAAAAACAAAACAGCAGACTACCAAAGTTAAGCAAACACGAAAAAACAACAACAAGAACAACAACAAATAATCGACATAAAAACAAAACAAAAATACTCCTCCCCAGGAAATTTACAGGATACTATAGCTAGCACCTGAGTTCTGAGACCCCCGGGATACGAGGCAAGTGCCATGCAAAGCTAACGCCCGAACACCAAGATCTTTACACGGGTTTATAAATCATTGTGAAAAGGAAAAAATGCAAATGAACGAATGTGTATTTGAGGGGTGAAAAGTAAAAAAATGGGGTCTGTTTTGTTATTGCTAAAGTGAGCAGTAACAAACCCTTTCAAAACACAACACATATGATTTCAGATGGTGATTAATAATAATAATAGATAATAGATAGCATTTGTATAGCGCATATCCCCGCTCAACAGCAGGCTCTATGCGCTTTACACTATATTATTACCCCA